CAAATACACTACCTTCTTTTTCCACAATTTAAAAAACTGTACATTGTACTTACAGTGAAAATCTGTTTTATGCATTAGGAAAAATGCAAGACTGAACTTTTTTTCAAGTAAAGTGAAAACATTTTAATATTTTGTTCATAAATATTCTCCTGGTCATTTTTAGCAAACATGCCAGAAGATACTTTTGCCATTTTGAAAGATGTTGTTATTGGAGAAAAAGTTCAACTTATACAAAATGTGCCTGAAATACAGAAAAAAACAATTTAACATGAACAATGCCACAATTCAAACAGTAGTTAGGCCAAAAACAAACTTTGAGATATAAAGGGCGCAAGAGGCCCCATATTTATCCCTACAGAATATTAAAAAATAAGCATTAGAATTACTTTGAGAGAAAGGGGGATATATTATGTTTCATAATGGACTTTTCTTGTTCATGAAACCCGTATTTGTTGTAAGAGTTAAATCATATAAAAGCAAACAATATTCTAGGCAATTAACCCACAAGAAACAAATCAATAGAATTAAACATCACATTCCAGGTTTAATTCATCCTGCGATGCCCAGGTCAATGGTTCTAAACCTTTTTAGACTCAAGGCACCCTCAGAAAATGCCAGGACTTAATTTTCACTTGCTTTTTGATTGAAGAAAAATAACAGAGCAGTTTTATCTGTTGCAAAGAACTCAGAAAGACCACAACACATCAGGATATTTTTGACATTATGGATTCCTATTTGAAATCTCTGAGTTAAGCTTGTGAATCAGGTGTAGCTGTTCACATACCTAACTGTGCTAATATTGAGCAGCACCCTTAAGAGAATCTTATGGCATCCCAGGGTGCTGCTGGTTTGAGCATCAGTGGTACAGGTCGTGAGGTTTACATGGTTTCCTGCAAGAGACTGGTGCAACTCTAAAGAACCACGTGCTGATAAAGTGAGCTGTGGAAGATTTTGCTCTGAATTGTATTAAAGAAAATGATGACATAAAAATAATGATGCAATTCTGAGTGCCATGTCCTACCATCCTCACATTCGTTAACTTCAGTCGGAGTCCACAACATTTAACCCTCTACAGGAATGGTTCTCCATCTTTCTAGACACAAGGCACCCCCTTTTCAGACTCAAGGAAGTCCTCCATAGCCTTGTGAATTGAATAGTACCCCATTTCAAAAATGAATTTTTTATGTCTCAGGGCGTACCTCCTTGCAGGGGGGCAGGCAGTTCGGAAGCAGTTACAGAGGGAAAGCCTGAGCCTGTCTTTATCTGCTTATCACCTCAGACCTTATCTCTTCACACTTCTTGGGGCACCCTTCAAAGAATCTCTCTGCACACCAGTGTGCCCTGGCACCTGGTTGAGAATCACTGCTCCACAGGATCAGGACATCATGCATTCAGGCACTGTTATGCAACAGTATTTTCCAAAGCAGTTTCAAAATGGTTTCATATTGTGTTTTGTTGCAGATGAACTCCTGCTTCTGATGAGAAGACTCTGAATTGTTATTTCATGATAACTCTGGACTGTGTTTGTCATAAGGAACTAAGTTTGTGCTATCATACATTATTTAAATCTCAGATTATCCACTATTAGGATGAAGAAAGCTTCTAATTGGCATAGAATCATCTGAATTTCCCAAAACTTGTATTTGATAGCAATGTATTGTTTATTAATTTTATACATGTGCCACAAATTGGAAGAAAATCAAGTTAAAAATCAATCTGAAACTGCTTTGTGTATTCCAAAAATTCAGCAATAAGGGAAACCTTTTCATATTTAACATTCAATAAATCACACAGGAGATCTGGCATAATGAGGGAAGCAAGCTGTAGCTAAAAAAAAAAGAAGAAATCTAGAATACAATTTTTCAAAGCAGAAAGGACAACCAGGCACCAGAATCCCTCTCCCTTTCTAATGTCCAACACTCCCAAATCTGCAGCCTCCCTATCATACAGGGAGGTTTCGCTGATGGCGACAGGAGTCTCACTTATAGAACTGGCTGCAAGTCCCACCTCCCTCTCTCTGCCAGTGATTCTCAATCAGGAAGCTACGTCAAACTGCAGTGCCCTGAGATCCTGTCAAGCATGCCATGGGGTGCCACACAATGTTAACCCTTTTAGGAGTGCAAACATAATTCACAAGATAAACCCAGAGATTTCAAATGGGAATCCATCATGTTAAAAAAACACTCCGCTCTGTTGTGTGGTCTTTCTGAGTTCTTTGCAACAGAAGAATAGCTCTGTTATTGAGCAAAAACTAAGAGCTGACATTTTCCAGGGTGTTCCTAGAGTTTAACAAGGGGTACTTTGAGTCTCATAGGTTGAGAAGCACTACTGTAGGTTTCCATATTGATGCCTTTTACTATGGTATCAAAGCACATCCCAAACAACAATAATTACTTATTTCTCCTCAAGATCAGCATGTAGAGCGTCTGTAAAGGTGATCACGTTTGTCAACAGTGTTTGTTTACAGTGTTAAGGATTAATGACCCCTCCCCCAACAGGGGGTGCCAGCACTGTTAGTACTGTTAGGTTTGCAAACATGATTCACAAGATAAACCCAGAGATTTCAAACAGGAATCCATAGTGTTAAATGCATCCTGACCAGTTGTGGTCCATCTGTGTTCTATGCAACAGAAAATTGCTCTAGTATTTTGTAAAGTAAAAAATGTGAGCAAAACAAGACTGGGCGTTTTCAGAGGGGCACACTGAATCCAAAAAGGCTGAGAACCACTGCTTTGAAGGAATAACATCAACTGGAAGTACTGCCATTTTATTTAAAAAAAAAAAAA